TACTTTGATCACATTCAATATTTTGACACCAGACCCACCATTATTATTTGAGATTTTACCCCAACACTCAGATCTGCTGAAAAGGCAATAGTAGACAATTTGTGTTCTATTGCGGTTATGAATAACATATGATGTTGCGTGGCTGCAGTAGTGGTCGCGCAATTTTGAAATTTTGAAATTTTAACACTTAAATCTGGAGGGATTTTTGCCAAAATCTGCTGGTTTCTGAGATTTGCTCCTGAGTCTCTGGGATCATGGCCGTTAAGCAGCTTGATCAGGAGCCAGAAAGGCCGTTTGTGGATGATGACTTGGGGTCTCGTTGGGGTGGGGAGGACAGGACCGACTCCACCCCCATCCTGTGCGGCCCTGCGTGTCTCATCACTGCGGGCCCAAATCTGACTGTCCAATGGCCTCTGGAGGATGACAGCCACCGAGCCGCCAGGGGAAGCAGGCGTACGGACAACACCCTTTCCCCGCTGGGGTGGCCTGGCGACCTACCTGTGGTGGTAGGACGTGCTTCTGCCAAAAGCCGCTGGGTTTCGAGATTTATTTCTGAGTCTCTGGGATCATGGCCATTAAGCAGCTTGATCAGGAGCCAGAGAGGCCATTCGTGGGCAATGACTTGGGGTCTCGTTGGGGTGGGGAGGACAGGACCGGCTCCACCCCCATCCCTTGAGGCCCTGTGTGTCTTGTCACTATGGGCCCAAACCTGACTGTCCTGTGGCCACTGGAGGATGGCGCCCACTGGGTCGCCAGGGGGAACAGGCCAAGACACGAAACCTATTCCCACCTGGGTTGGCCCAGCACGGGTAACCTACTGCAGGGACCCGACGCATTTCTGCCTAAAGCTGCTGGGTTTCAAGATTTGTTTCTGAGTCTCTGGGATCATGGCCATTAAGCAATTCAATCAGGAACCAGAGAGGCCATGCCTCCAATTATATAGCTGAGCCAGAGGTGGTTAGTGGGTGTGTTTCCCACATACCTAACTTTTGGCCGTTTACTTTCTTGGTAAACTTTGCCCCAAGTCTTTGGGGTCTGGCCAAAGGCACAGCAGCAATTCTGGGGTATCTGGAAGTCTAAGGCGCCATCAGGCTGCTGATGCACTCGCCTCACAGGTACAGATTGACCTGCTTACGGCACCATACCCCTTTGTTTTCTTTTTTGGAAGGCCATATCCAATGGAAATAAGTTGGAAATATGGTTGTCTTCAATGAAACAATTATTGCTTTTTTGTGTGTGTGGTGTGTTTTTTGGGTCACACCCAGTGATGCTGAGGGGTTACTCCTGACTCTGCATTGAGGAATCACTCCTGGCCATGCTCAGGAACCATATGGGATGCTGGTGATTGAACCCAGATGAGCCACTTGCAAGGCAAACCTGTTGTATTATTACTTCAGCCCCAACAATTATTACCCTTAGAAGCTTTTCTTTCTTGATGGAGGCATTATACCGGAACTAGAAAACCCAGATGATATAGTTTTGAATGTAAGAGAGATAAAACTTACCTCTCAGGTTCCTGAATCCATAAAATTGTTAGTAGAGACTTCCTTATGGCCCTTCCCCAGTCCATTTTTCTTTTTCAGTTTCACTTCCTTGAGGGGTGACTAAGACAAGGTTTCTTATCATTTTGGGAAAAAACCTTAGGCAAGTCAGGAAATACTTCACTGCAGCAAAAGTCAGTTACAAGGCTGGAGAAGTGACTTAACAGTGTATGCAGGCATAGTGCATGCCATGAATGTATAACGGGGTTCAATCCCAAGCACCATAAAAAAAAACTTTAACATGATAAGTTATATTTAGGGGGTGTTATGTTAAGTGAAATACATCATAGGAAGGACAATGATGATGATCTCACTTATCAGTAGTATATAAAGAAACACAGGAAAGGAATGGACAATGGACAATGAAAACAAAGCTTGGAACCTGACAAAAGAACTGAGATTGCTGATGGGAGTCACGTGGAGAAAGGGAGGGATGGTGTAGATGGGGCAGATAGCATTCAACACCACTGTGAAAAAAAAATAACAAATATTAAAAATAAATGAAGAAAATTGAGCTGGGGTATTCCTATGGTAGAGTGCATGCCTTGCATGTGTGAAATCTGGGTTTGATCCCCAGTATGCAATGAAAAAGCAATGACAAGCAACAGAGAGATAATACAGGGTTAAGGTACTTGCCTATGTATGTGGCCAACCTTGGTTTGATTCTTGGCACCTCATAGTCTCCTGAGCACTGCTGACTAAATACAGGACTGGGAGGAGTGCCACTGGGTATCGACCCCAAACCCAGAAGGCAGAATGAAACAAACATTTGGGCTGGCGAGATGGCTTAATGGATTGGAATAAATATATGCTTTTCATGTGGGAGTCCTGGTTTTTGTTTGTTTTTATTTTGGGGCCACACCCCTTAGTGCTCAGGGTTTATTTCTAGCTTTGTGCTCAGGGATCACTCCCGGTGATATTTGGGGGATTGTATGTGGTGTTGGGGTGTTGGTGCCTAGCCAGATCATTACGACAAGTCCTTGGACGCTGCCCTGAAAGCAGGAAGCAGAACAAGGACCCCACTTTTAATTAAGGGGGCAAGCTGAAGCTTGTGAGTCTGATTGATTGGAAAGGGTTAACAGGTCTTCCTACATTTGCCTTGGCCGTACACTAATTCCTGACAGCACAAGAAAACATCCCTCCTGCTTATCTCAGAGCCCCCCCCCCCCCAAGGAGGTCATGACCTTTGGAAGCACAGAGCCTACGTGCTAGACCTTGCATTCCTCCCCAGAGACTGTAGCCATTTGCTTCATGGACATGACAGAACAATGTATGCTTTGGATGCTTTGGTGTCCTTGTGAGACATGTGTGTCTGTGCTCCAATAATATTCCTTTGTTAATGATTTTTTCTGCCTTGCTGAATTCTCTGGAGAGGTTTACGATAGGGGAACAAATAAAAGGAGACCACCAAAAGCTTCTGTTCGCCACAGAGCCAGAATGAGCCTTGGCCTTCCAAGCTTCTGCGTTCCTCTCGCTTGTCTTGCCTCTACACCTCCATCTAATGATACATCATTTCTTGCAACATTGGGGATTGAGCCTGAGTCAGCCACGTACAAAGCAAGCACCTTATCTGATACGCTCTCTCTCTGGCCTGAGGGCCCTGGGTTTGGTCTCCAGAACTGCATAGTTCCCAGCGGTACACTGGAGTGACCTCCATCCCCCACCCCCTCAAGTGACATGAGTGTTGCTGGGTATGGCTCCCAAATTAAAAACAAATTCCCACCTGCATTTTCTTTCTCTGCCTCTTCAACTGTGAGCAAGAAAGACTGAGGGCTCTATCCTGAGATGTTGGTCAGTTTGGCTGAGGGCCCGCAGTCCTGGAGAATGAGCAGACGAGCCCAGTAGGTTCTCGAGTAGCAGAGGAAGACTCTAGCAAGGAGCAAAAGAAGCCACCCAGGACCACTCTAAGTCCAACAATGGCAGGACAAGACCCAAGGGACAAGAGGGAAGGTATGTCCTTACAAACAGCAATTCTGGAGCGACAAAGCCCAGAAGCAGAGAATAAGAACACGTCTGGGGGGAAGGGACTTCCTCAGAGAGCAGCATCTTTCAGAAAGGACAGTTTAGGAGAAGGACGTGGAAGATGAAGGTTGTATTCCTACACAGGCTCCAGAGTCCAGCGACACTGATGTCCAAGAAGCTCCTAAGCCACAAGTGGAAGATGTTCTGACGGTTAGCGAACTTGCTGGTGCCCAGAAGGTCAATGGCTAACTGAGTGGCCAACAATGCCCCCTGAACCACCAGGAATGCTGGTTGCCCACAATACAGGGCGGGGAGGCCTTAAAGAACCTGTCACTGTCTTATGGAGGAGCAAATGAGAAAATTCTATCATACTAAGGACACATCTACTTTCAGTAGATCCAGGGGCTTCTTAAAGTGATCCCACTCACTAGACTTGCACATTCTCTCTCCACCACTCCATCCCCACTCTCCCTCTCCTTCCCCCCCGTCTCTCCATGACATAGGTATTAAAAGTCTGATGGTCCCATCCTTAGTGTGTTCAGAGTGGAGCCATACCAAATATCCATCTGCACATGGAACCCAGGCTTAGGGAAGGCAGAGATGCCTTTCTCTGGTACCCAGGATGCAGGCACCAGGAGCTATCAATTTTATGGGCCTAATCCTGTAAAGGAATCTGGGGTCAGGCATGAAGAGAAGGAAGGCAGCTCAGGAGAAAGTCCACACCCGGGCTGAGTCTGCAAAGGGGTGAGTGGGTGACTATGGGGGTCCAAACAATGTGACAAGTGCAGAGAGGACTGAAACACATGCAGGTTCAACCGCAGCACCACACAGTCCCCAGACACTTTGGGAGTGGCACCAAAGCTAAGAATAAGTAAAAATAAGACCAGAAACCACCATCCTCAGGAAACTGTGACTTAAAGATCAGCAACAGAATTCATGTCTTCCAGGGATCCTGCTCCCCCAGTGCAGGCTGCTCTCTCCTCTGCTCCAGGCACTGTCATTGAGGATGTGTTTCTTCTGCCCTGTCCCAGAAGGACACTTTCTTTGAAAGGCAAATTCTAATCTATACAGAGAATTATCAGTTACCATGTTAGCACGTCCTCCAAAGAGGATGGTCTATTTCTCATAACCAAGACTATTTATTCTTTTTGTTTAGTTTGGTTTTTGTTTTGGGGCCACACCCAGTGGTACTCAGAGCTTACTCTTGGCAGTGCTTAGGGGACCGTATATGGTGTCAGGAATCAAACCAAGGTTGACTGCATGCAAGGCACGTGCCCTACCCGCTATACTCTCTGGTCCAAAGCTCTTCTAGCCACTGAATGGTATCTTCTGTATTTTCTGTATTGAGGTATGTTTTGGAAATCTGGGCTTGCAGGAAGGAGCCAGCTTCCACTTATATTGATGGTAGTCAGGGCCTGGCAAGGTGGGGTAGGGAGCACTTGAAAAGGGGCCCTGTGCACCTGCCTCCACCCCAGGTTCAGTGCGTCTCTCAGATGTCTTATTTTTAAAATACTTTATTATTTTTTCCATAATACTGTCATTACAAAAAAATACAAAAAACTACTATAAAAACATTCAGGGGCTTGTCAAAGTGAGAAAACCTAAAGACCCCACCCCAGGACCTCGCTGAAGCCAGTTCCCTGGCTCCCCCACTATTAGACCTTCCTGCAGCCGTGGGAGTGGGGTGGCTCACATGGGCTCAGAGGGATGACAGTCCCCCTCAGCAGCCTCCACAAAGGGTCAGAATCGCTCCATGTAGCACAAAAATGGGATTTGGAAGTTTGGGGGTGGCTAGGCCCTGAGTTCAGAGGTGTGGGGAGAAACCTGTGACGCTGAATCTCTTGGTGGGGTGTTGCTGCCACCTGACCCTGAAGCCCTTTCCGGTCCTGAGGAAGGCTGGGGTGTGGCCCCCATCCCTTGCCCCGAATTCTGCGCTTAGCAGGTTCCTCCCTCGCTCCTCCTTTGAGGCTCCTGAGGACTCAACTTCCAGTTTTGTGGGGTCGAGGCAGGAGGGCTGACGGGGAGGCTCTGAGGGCCCCCTTCACCTCACTGTCCCCCAAATGAAAAGTGTCTCGTGCTCAGTGGCCCAGCTCAGGGTTTCTGGACCCTTCTCTTCCTCTCTCCACTCTGAGAGGCACAGACAGCTTGAAGTGAGCGTGTGTGTGTGTGTGTGTGTGTGTGTGTGTGTGTGTGTGTGTGTGTGTGTATCTGTAAGAGTGTGAGTGCAGGAACCTCAGACACCGGCCCAGGGACCAGGCGGTGGTGGCAAAGCAGAGTCCTTGCTCCCCTCTTCCGCAATGGGAAGAAGCAGGGCAGGGAGGGAGGACAGATTAGTTGCGAAGCTGAGAGGGGAGGAGGGCATGCTATTTACAGGCGTGGACGAGGAACCTCTGCATCTTCAAGTAGCACTCAGGTCTCTCTCCAGCCACTAGAGTGGGAACTGGATTCAAAGCAAGTGACACGAAAATTGACCCCAGGCCTGGGCTAGCTCTCCCCGATTCCCTCCCACTCCCCCAAGACAGCCCAGCTCTGAGAGGGGTCAGGGACAGGAACATTGTCCTAAAAACCTTTTTTTTTCTTTTCTTGTTTTTTTTTTTTTCATTTTAGAAAAAGTTGCCAGTGTCCAGTGGACATCAAGCCGGGTGCATGTGGGCAGGGTGAGAGTTGGGGGTATTGCTGTGGAAGACTCTGGGCTGGCCGGGGCAGAGCCTAGGAACAGGGGAGGTGCTGCTTAAGGATCTGTCGGGTCTGTGGTGTCAATCTGTCTGGGAAGCGAACTTTGAACTCGACAATGAGGTCTCCCCGCTGGGTGGGCACCTTGGGGAAGGGCAGGCCCTCCCCACGGAGTCTCTTCACGGTGCCTGGCTTGATGACGTCATTGCAGGGCAGAGGGATCACACGGCCGTCAATGGTGGGAATGTTCACGGTGCAGCCACACAGCGCCTGGTGGAAATGGTGAAAACATGTGAGGAAAAGGGAGGAGAAGTTTGGGAATCATGTTGGCATTCCCTTGCAGTCCAATGTAGGCACTCGCATGCATACACACACACACACACACACACACACACACACACGCACATGAACATGCACACACACACCACACACGCACGCACAATCAGGTCCTACCTCTTTGAGGCTGATCAGGGCACTGTAGAGCACATTGGTGCCATCTCTGCGAAAGTGTGCATGGGGTTTGTCTTTAAGAACGAAGACAATGTCAGCAGGGATGTTGTCTGGGGTGGCATCGCCCTCTTTGGGGAAGGTGATCTTGGTTCCCTCCTTCCAGCCCCGTTTGATAACAATATGCAGGATCTTGTCCTCAGTGCGCACAGTTCGCCCGTCTGGGTTGAGGCGCCGCCTTGTGATTTTCATGCGCTTGGTAGAGCCATGGTAGATCTCCTCCAGGGATACCCGCAGCTCGTGCACCACCGGGGGGTCCTGCACCTTGCGCCGAGGGTACAGCGATTCGGGGGCTCGCCTTGGACCCCTGCTTAGCCCATTGAAGCCAAAGCGGCCAAAGGCACCAAAGGGGTCCTCATCTTCATCCACATCCATGTCATCAGGGTCAAAGCCACTGAAGGGGCGAGTGGAGCGACTGCTGGCAAAGAAGATATCGAAGGGGTTGGAGCCACCAAAGAAGGAAGCAAAGGTGGCGTGGGGGTCCCCATGAAAGGTGTAGTGGAAGGAGCCACTGGAGCCACCCGATGAGCCACCGCCGGTCTTCAGGCCTGGAGGGAGGAGAAGTTAGGGGCAGTATGGCATCTCCCAGTACCTCCCCCCCAGCACTTCCCCCACACTCTCAATTCCAATTCCTGGACCTGGAGAGAGAAGCCTGGCCTTCTGGAGGAAGAAGTCTCTGGTAATGTTTATTCCTGCTCTAATGATGTGTCTGGTAAGGAAGAGTGTCTGAGGGGCAGAGAGGTCAAGTTTCTCCCTATGTGGAAATGCTAATACTAGGAGACTCAGAAGATGTGACTTCCAGGCCTGTCATCTCTTCTGTGGACCTGTGACCCCAAACTGTCTCACAAAGCATTTAGTGGCTGGCCTGGGGCCCCCTTATTCATGATACCTGCTCTCAAATCTTTGCCACTCTCCAAAGAGCTGATGGGCAGGAGGCAATAGTGACTGCCCTGTCTCATCTTGATGGGGAGGGTTTAGAGGGTGGGGGACAGTCCAGGGGCCACCTGCTGGTCTCTCTCTCTCTACTTCAACATGACTCCTGCTCTGCCTGTCTCTTTCTCCCCACCCAATACCCCCCTGGGATGGGAGCTCAGGAGGGTTTCCCCCAAGCAGGACATCTCGTTAAGCAGTTTCTCTTGAAAAAGGTTTTAACTGCTTTGTTGGCACGCTTGGGGATGGCAGTGTGGCACTAGGCCAGGCGCTCGCACGTGAGACAGAGGCTCCACGGGGAGAGAAGCTCTTGCAAGTTATACAACACCAAGCCCCACAGCCCACTCCTGGCGTCAGGGCAACCAAAACACATGAATGAGCTGGCACATTCCGGGTGGTGACCCCAGCTGCTCTCACTGGAGGCAGCTCCCCACGGGCTCAGCTTCCTGGAAGCAGTTTTGGGAGTGTGGGGGTGAGAAGGTGGCTGGGTTGTGGGGGGGGTGGTCGGGATGGTGACAAGGGCAGGAAGTGGGGCTCACACAGAGAACAGATGGACTCAGAGTGGAGTGCAGGCACCTTTGGAGCCTTTTCTCTTGAATTTCCATTGGCTGTGGGAAGCCCTGAGCCTAAATTAGCCTTTTACTTCCCGGGGCTGCCGCAGGTTTCAGTTTCCGTAGGGAGGCCAAGTGGCACACAGTTCACCCTTCCCCAAAGCCCCAGTCTCTCTCCTTCCTCTCTGGAGGGTCTGAGATCAGGTAAGTGCAAGGGACGTGGGCAGAGCTAGGGGTGGGGGGTGGGGTGGGGCTGGTGACAAAGGAGAGGGGATGGCTCGGCACATGGCCACCCTCATGCAAGCTGGGAACAAAGTGTCCCCAGCCAGGACAACGTGGTCCATGCGCACAACTGTTCTGCTGGCTACGGGAGGGGCCGGGCAGACAGAAACGTTACTTTGCTTCCTTTGCTCTCCCTCCTGGGCTGGTGGGTTAGCGCAGCCCCAGGATCCCTCCTGGCTGGAGGCTTGCATCGGAGCCCATGGCTCACCCGGCCTGCGAGCCTGAGCTTCGTCCTTCATTTCAGTTTGGTTCCCCCAGCCCCCACCTTCTTCCTAAACAGAGGTGAGGGTGGAAGGAGCGAGCCCCATCCCTAGGGAGGTCCCACGGAGCCTGGTGTCCAGACTCCTTCCCCATCCCGGCACTCTCTGTCCCCTCAGCTGAGAGAATACAGGACTCTGCCCGCTGCCTGTCTGTCTGGGAGTTAGCACATCTAGTAGGTGAGAAAGGGGAGCCAGAAAGAGTCCGTGGCACTTGGGAATAAGAGCAGGAGCCTGGAAACTCGGATCCATAGAGCAAGGAGGAGAGGAAGAAAAGAACCTTTTCCTTCCGGTTCTTTTAGGGGACCTGATTTCATTTGGAGGCTGGGACTGGGCGAGTGAGGCAGAGGATGAGGAAGGAAGGTGTGTGCCGCTGGGCAGGCAGGACAGTTCCTCCCGGGAAGGAGAGTCCTCAGCTGTGACAATGTCTCTTAATATAGCCTGACAGGTGCCTGTGGCTGGCGGTGGCAGGCGGCCCTGAGGGGCAGGCACAGAATTAGCAGCTACATCATGCCCGTGGGATGTGTGGGGAGGGGCCACCCTCTCAGAGCCTTTATTTGGGCCTTTCCTGCCGCCCTGTGCGTGGCCACCCGCGTCCCCACCAGGGAGGGGGTAAGATGCCAACAGCATCCACCCTCAGAGCCCTACCACTTCCTGCGGGAGGCAGAGCTCCATCTCTGCTCTGCTGGCGTGGAGTGGGCAGGGAGGGAACCGGGAAGGGGACAACTGTCTCTGGAGCTCAGAGCGTGAGCGGTTAATTCCCGGGCTGCCGAAGGGCCAAACTTTTCTGCTGATGAAGGGAGATGCTCTGTCCTCTACACACCCCCTTTCCCTAACCTTCCTGTCAGCCAATGAAGTGGCAGAGACTTCAGGCAGGACTAATAAGGCCGGGAGGAAGAATGGGGGGTGTGGGAGAGGCTCTGGCGGTCACTTCAGCCTTCTCCAAGGCTTCAGTTTCAGGACGGAGAGGGCAGCAAGAGGCAGTGAGTCTGTCACCGAGCAGACTGGGTCATGGGGGCCGGTGTGTGTGAGGGTGTCTGTCCTCTGCTCTGCGGGGTCAGTACTAGGAATGCTGGCCGCCCTCACCCCCACCCCAGCCTCCAGATCTATGCTAGAACTGGGTCACCCGGGACCCCAAAGAGTGGGTGGCATTCCAGGGGAAACACTGCCCTCTTACCTTCCTCCCCATACTGGTCATAGAGGCCCCTCTTCTTGGGGTCACTCAGCACATCGTAGGCCTCAGCAATCTCCTTGAACTTCTCCTCAGCGTTGGGCTCTTTGTTCTTGTCTGGGTGGTACTTGAGGGCCATCTTCCGGTAGGCTTTCTTGATCTCATCCTCATTGGCCCCTGACGGGATCCCCAGGATCTTATAATAGTCTTTTCCCATTACGGCTACTGGACCGGCGCTGGTCTCCTTGTTTCTGAAAGAAACCCAGGGCCAGTTCTTGAGGCTCCCGTGCCCGCCCGCCCCGGCCCTGCAGCCCCTCGGCTACTCACTCTCAGCAGGTCAGGCCCAGCCTGCGTGTCTGTCTCCCCATCAGTGAAGGGAAGGTCTGACTAGATGACCTCGTCCGGCTCAGACATTCTAGAGCTCTGTGATCCCCCACCTCAGTGCTCGGATTTTCTCAGCAGGAAACGGTGGGCTATGGCCTCCTCCTTGGGGTTAGGCTTAGGTCCAGGCCCTGGGGTCGGACCGAAGACCCCCAGAGCAGCCCTGCTGAGTGAGGTGGCACCATGGACTGGCACACCCGTGCACGGAGGCTGGTGGAGATGAGTGTGCTGGGTGAGGTCACCTGAGCTTCGTGGTCTCCTACGCCATGCCTTAGGCACAATGCCCAGCTAAGGGCAGCTGGGGCAGTGGCTGGTCTGGAGACGAACCTCGGTTTCTTCAGCCAGCTGTCCTAGGCGGCCCGGCTGAGTCAGGCTGTGGGGACCGGAAGTCCTCTCTCCTGCTGGAGTCCCTGGGCCTCCCTGTCTCAGCCCCCAGACTCTTCGAAGCGTCACATATGACTCAGATGGTGGGGTGACTGGCAGCCTTCAGAAACTCTGTTCTGAACCCCTCACTAGTGTGTGTGTGTGTGTGTGTGTGTGTGTGTGTGTGTATGTGTGAGTGTGTGACACTGGTTCCTCCCCCAGCCCAGGCAACCGGTCCCTTTACTCACTTCCCAGCATCTACACACCCAACTGTGCATGAACACGCACTCCTGCATTGGTGAGCAGGCACAGCCTGGGGGCAGGGCCTTTAAGGCTAGACACTGGGAGACAATCAAGCACTCACCACCTTTGTGGATACCTGCCTGCCAGTCCCCTGCTTCACCTGCCCCTGCTTTAGAAGCTGGCCCGGTGCCAGCACCCCGCCCCCCACCCCCTGCTCTTCTAATGGTTCTTTCACCCTGAACCTGGAGAGGCAGGAGCAAAGCACGCTCATTCTTCTGCTCTGCTTTCGTTCCAACAATGATTCTGGGGTGGCGAGGAGGAAAGGGGACTTTCCTGTCACTCGAGCTATTTGGGGGAATGGCCAGAAGCCACTCTGTAGCCCTTAGGAGGTTTAGCCAACCCCTGCCAAAAAGCTGGGAGAACCAGAGTCTTTCTAGCAATGTCCTGGGCTGGCAGCCACAGCCAAGGCTGTTTTTCAGCTTCTGACTGCTTCTGAGTGTCCAGGGCTCCCTGGCAGGAGCAAGACCCCCAGGCTGGCAGGGACAAGAAGGGATGGTGACCCTGGCCCCCACAGGGCTGGTTGCAGGTGGCGGGGTTGACTCACGGTGTTGGAGTCACCCCACTCTGATGAGGAGAAGGCTCCATAAAGGCGGGTACTCCCCCTTCTCCCCCTACCAGCATGTCACGCCTGGTGGGGGAGGCTGGGGTGGGAGGAGGCAGAGAAGAAAGAGCATCTGGGGGAGGGCAGCCATTTTCGGAAGCAGCAGTAAAAGCCGTCTGAGAGGGAGCTGGGGGTGGTCTGCCATCTCAGCCCCGGCCCACACCCTAGCACACCAAGAGAGACCCCAGAGAACCAAGAGCAGTTCCTAGGCAAAGGACAAGCCAAAGGGATCACCACCAGGACTCCCAGCATCCTTCCGCTGTCCCCGCATCACCTCCTCACCAGGCTCCCTTCCCACAGACACCAGCCCTGCCTGGCCTGTGGCTCTAGACCTGCAATCTTCCAGCCCCCACATCCACAGGGTCCTCCCAGGAACGTGGGTTCCAGCCCCCACCCCGCTCTCCCCTCCCCTTCCCCATAAGCCATGTGTTCAAATGACAAAGGAGCCCCATGGCATGGCACTGCCTTTGATGAGAAAGAATGAAAAAGATGGATGTGTGGAGGCAGGAAGGACAAATGGGGAGGGAATGGCCAGGGTGCCTGAGCTGCGGGGAGAGGAGAGGGGAGACGGAGGATGAGGTCTGGTGGTGGGGCAGGGCAAATGCCAGAGAGGGGTGGCTGGGGCGGAAAAGGGGTTTCCAGGGACCGAAGAGACAGCACAGGGGTTAAGGCGCCTGCCTTACATGCAGCTGACCCGAGTTCGATCCCCAGCACCACACAGCCCCCTTGAGCACCTTCAGGAAGGGCCCCTGACCACAGAGCCAGGAGTAAGTCCTAAGCACCACAGGGTGTGGCCCCCAAACGAACAAAAATGTTTCCTTTGGGTTGAAAGAGATGCAAGAGTTGCGGACACGACTGGTGGGAACGGGAACCGAAAGGAGTGGCTAAGGGCGATGGCCGAGGAGTGGAAATGGTGGGTCTCAGAGGTCTCATGTCAGGGAGGAGGCCGGAAGGGCTGGAGGGTGCGGGAAGGAGATGGAAGGATGGAGGGGTGTGGAGGATGAGACGCGGTCATGGGTATGAGCGCCCTTCTCGGGAGGGACTTACCGAAACTTTACAAACCCATTCAGCGTCCACGCTCGAAGTTTTAAGGGCTCCAGCTGAATTTTAAACATCAAGCTGGCTAAGAAGTCTTCTCCCCAGAAGTGTGGGAAGCTCCGGAAAGCGCCTCGGGCCTGCAGTGGGGGTGCTGCTGGGGATGGGCAGGAGAGCGCTGTGCGCTTAAACATGCCCTGCCCAGCCCCTCACCTCGGATCGCTCCACCACCGGAGCGCTGCAAGCTGCGGCCGCCCTGGAAGGCACCTCCTCGTGGTGGGTGGTGGTGAGGGGATCTCAGAGGCCCCTGAGGGCCCTGTGCGGTGCAGCAAGGGCTGGATCGGATCCCAAGGTGTGCAGACGGAAGGGACAGGGTCCAGCGGCCACCTGCGCTCAGGTGCGGCGCCGGCCGGCGGCGGCGGCGAGCGGGTGGCCCGGCCAGGCGGGTGCAGGCGGGCAGCGGAGAGGGGCAGCGAGCGTGCGTGCCACCGCCGACAGGTGTGATTGTCTGCGAGGGCCCGAGAGGCAGTGAGCTAGCCCTTCTCGCCTCTCTCCCCGAGGACCCGACCCCAATCCCCGAGAAACCTACTCAATGAAATCGCTGACGGGGAGTCTCCTCCCTCGCAGAGGGGCGGGGCAGAGCCGAGCTCCGCCGGGACAAAAGCGCGGCGAGAGGGGAGGACGCGGGGAGCGGGGAGCGGGGAGGGGGCTCGGGCGGGGGAGGGTGGTCGGTGATGTCACCGCGCTGGCAGGCTGGGCCAGCTCCGAAAACGCCTCCGCGCCGCCGAACCCAATCCGACCCGACCCGGCCCGCCGGGGCTGCCCCCGGCCCCCGGGGGAGAGGGTCGCGAACAGCGAGCGCCACCGTGCAGACTCCAGGTCCCCGCACCCGCGATGGGCCCTTTCAGCGTCCCAACCCTCCCCCTGCCCCCCGCGGCCCCCAGACCAGGACCCCTTGGCTTCGCGACGCCCCCCGCTCCCGGGCCCCCCCGAGTCCTGGCTGGGCACCCTCACCGATGAGGAGCTGCGGGCGACGCCGCGGTCCTTCAGACAGCCGCTGCCCCCTCCCCCGGCTCCGGCTCCGCCGCCTCCACTCGGGACAGGAGTCGCCTGCCCGCCGGCCGCAGACAGCGGGCCCGGGAACCCGCCCCCACGGCTCCGCCTCCGCGCAGCCCATTGCGCTGCCCGCCCGTCACTCAGCCCAGCTTCTTCGCTCATTGGGTGGTTTTCAACGAGTGGCCGCCCCATACACCGCCCCTGTCACCCGGCCACACGCGCACACATTCCGAGCAGTGATTGGCGTGGGTCTGATTGGTGCGCTCGGGGATCAATCAACCACACCTCTCCGCCATCCCGTCGTGCCATTGGTGAAAGGGACAGAGGGTGGAAATTCCACGCGCCCTTTGATTTCATTGGTTGGTTTGCGGGGCTCAGACCCGAGCCCCGGGGGGACAATTTATATTAGTCCAATCTCCGGTTTGAGAAGGTGGGACATACTGGCCACCGCTTGAATCCCGGGAGACACTTCTGGAACCTGTGCAACGTCAAAGTCGGCCTTAAAGGAAAATGACACTGTTGGCCGTGACTCTGGGCATTCTTTCCGCCCCCGCACCCCGCGGTCCCTCCCAACCCCCCACCCCCAAGGGACGGCAGAGTATTGTGCTCCCGGGGAGGTGTAGTTCTTGAACTTGGGTGAGAGATCATCCCTTTTTTTTTCTTTCCATGGACCCGTGAACTCACCTCGACCTGACCTGATTTAGCTTTACCTTACCCTGACCTGGAGTTGACCCGTTAACTGAGTGTCAGAACAGAGCCTGGTCGCCAAGCAGTTAAAATACCTCCTCTTTCTCCGCTGTCGCCTGGTGATTCTCCGATTTAGGAACTTCCTTTCAGACCCCAGTTCATCCTCTGTATGGTCCCTTCATCCCTGCTCCATCTCAGCAACCTCCACAGCCCCCAGGAATTCTCCTTCTGTGTTTCTGTCCTTCCACTTTGCGTACCTGCACTCTAGCCCCTGCCCCTAATCCGTTTCTTGGCCTGGTACGACACCTGTCTTTCCCCCTTGGTTCTCTCATTTCCTCTTCCCTCTGAATCCTTGCCCCTCGGCCCATCATCTCACCTATTCTAGCGCCCCTCTTTAACCCTTCATCTCAGTTCCGCATGATCTCCTCGGTTCACACCCTTAGAATTTCCCATTTCAGGTCCCCACCCCCATTAAATCTCAGCCCCAGTGTCCCCGCTGTTCAGAGCAGGCAGGGCTGCGGAGGCGGTAGCCGGCGGAAGCCGACGCTTGAGCAGACACGGTGCCTGGCGCGCCCACGTCACTGTCTCCCAGGCCCATCTGTGCTCGAGGGAGCGGGGGTGGGGAGGGGGTAATCCGGGGGTGAAGGGGGAGGGAATACTTGGAGGGTTTAAGGACAAAGGAAGGACCAGTACAGAAGTTCTGGATTCCTTCTCTTTTTTGCTGTTTCCCAGCAACAGAGTTTGGTCACGCTGAGGTCACATAAACTGGATAAAGCTGGAAACTGAGGCACAGAGAGCACCAGTAGCTAGGCCCAGAGTAGAGTGGAGCAGCAGAGAGTACAGGGGTCCCAGGGATTAGGCCTGCAAGTTCTCAACCACCTGTCAGCTCTCCGGTTCTTCCCAGATGCACAGGTTGTGAGGTGTAAAGGTTGTGAGATATGAAGGGGTAAAGGTTGTGAGGTGTGAAGGGTAAAAATTGTGAGGTGTGAAGGGGTAAAGGTTGTGTGGTGTGAAGAGTAGAGGTTGTGAGGTGTGAGAGGTAAAGGTTGTGAGGTGTGAAGGGTAAAGATTGTGAGGTGTGAAGGGGTAAAGGTTGTGTGGTGTGAAGAGTAGAGGTTGTGAGGTGTGAGAAGTAAAGGTTGTGAGGTGTGAATGGTAAAGCTTGTGAGGTGTGAAGGAGAGTGGGAATTGTGAGGAGTAGGTGGGGTTAGGGGGATGAGCAAGAAGAGTGGGAAGATGGGGAAAGGGAGATGGGAGGAGAGAGGGGGTGAAATGATGTGGAAAGGAGGGTGGGAAGATGGGTAGGGAGAGATTGGAAGAGGAGGGGAGATAGGCTGGGAAGTATGAATGGGATGAGACGGGAAGGAAAAGTGGGGACCAGCCACAGAAGGAGGCAGCACAAGGACATGCCTGAGAGGTGGGGGGAGGAGAAATGCGGACGGGAAGAAAAGAGATGTTAGGAGGGACAGGGATAGTGTAACACAGAGATGGGTAAGGTGGGACCAGACCCCCACTTCCTCTGCACTGGTGCTGGTTCCTCAGATTCTGAGTCCCTCAATCTCCCACCTCCAGACTAATGGGGCCTGAGGTGTGGGTGGCTCTGCTTCTTCCTATTCCAGTTCTGTCTATGTCGCCTCCTCCAGCCTTGCCTGTGCCAGAACGGAGGCAGAGAGTTTAGTCACTGGCCTTTACCTGGTCAGTGAACGCTGATGTACAGGCTGAGGACTTCAAGGGGGCTGGATATCCCCCTCGGGTGCCGGAGTACAGATGCCATTGGCTAGAGCTGTTCTGTCTCCCACCGTCCAGGGCACCTGTGGCATGTGTGAGGAACTGGGCCGGACACACTGCAGTCTGGAGGCAAAGAGGATCTCCGAGTCACCCAGTTGAGTGGTGAGGGCACTGCTGAATCTGTGCCCATTTTCTTCCGTAAGATGGAGACAGACAACGGCAGTCCTCTGACACTTGTTTAAAGGTTAATTAAGGTAACACATGTCCTGCACCTATTTCGGAGTTTGACATGTAGGTCATGTTCAGCTAAGTTAACTGTTACGCTGCTCACATGTAGCTGGGTGTGTGAGTGCATCTGTAAACGTGTGAGTCTGGGAGTTATTCACGTTGTTGTATTGGTAGCACGGTTTGTGAGTGTATCAGTGTAGTTATTTTTGTGTGGTGGTGTGTCCTGTTCCACTCATCGCTTTAGGTCCATGATTGTGTGTTAGTGCACATGTGTGATTCAGTGGCTGTGTGGGATATTCTGACAAAGGTGGACGGAGGGCGGCCTTGTGGCTATTGACACATTGACACTGTCTGCTGGTGTATGCTCATGTCTGTGATCATGTCAGTTCCAAACACCCCCACTTACCCTCCCTTCCCATGGAGACGTCATAACCCTAGGTGTCCCTCATTTCCTCACCCTGAGGGAACCGGAACCCGGGGGCAGGGGTGGGGGTGGGTGCATGAGGAGGTGTTTAGACAGAAGCACATGCTCCCTCCCTAGACTGGAGAGGAGGGGGGGGACCCTTCTCTCACACAGATCCTGAAGGCTCCAGAGGAAGTCCCCCCCACCAGCCTGTTCTCAGATCCTAGTCTTGTCTCCATGGCAGCGGTTGCCAGGGGCTCCCGCTGTTGCTAAGATCTGGGTGTGGGAGGCTGCCAGGCCCTGTTGCCAGTAGAAATAGAGGATCTGGGGGGGAAAGGAAGACTACCCCCACAGCTGCCAGCTCTCTGCAGTGACAGGACTGCTCTTGGGCCTCTCCTGGCCCTAAATGTGGCAGCATTAGAGTTGGTAGATGCTGAAACCGGACTATTGAGATCTATCTTAGAGGAAAAGGGGGCCCCTAGCCTATCCATGGCCATCTTTTACAGTTGGGAGAACTTTGAAATGAGTAACTATCTCATCCTGCCTCCTGTCCCTTCTGCCACTGTTCTTCAGCCTTCTTACACCGTGGGCAGCGCCTGCCCCCTCACACCAGTGCACAAGTCAGCAGTGACAACCAAGGTAGTGACCGGTGGTTTCCAAGCTTCCCATGTCTGTGGGCCAGCACTGCTGCAGGGATCAGTAGTTGAAGACCACTGCCATCTGCTGCACTCACCCCACCTCCCCGGCCATCTGAAGGGACTCTACCTGAGTTCTCCAGCGTCTGAAGCCGACTAACTCTTCCTTCCAGCATCTCACTTGGATTCAAGTGTCAGCTGGCACTTGAGCCCAATCTTTGATCTCACACTGAGTCCCATTTTTTTTTTTCCTTTTTGGGTCTCAGGAATTACTCCTGGCAGTGCTCGGAGGACCATTTGGGATGCTGGGGATCAAACCCAGGTCTGCCGCCTGTAAGGCAAACGCCCTACCCGCTGTGCTATAGCTCTGGCCCACTGAATCCCATCTTTGGCCACTGTCTGAAATCTTGGTCCCGGCCAGACTAAACCCAAACCCAGACCCAGTTTGGGTGAACCCCAATCTGGAGACAAAATATTTGAACTCACGAGCAGATTCTGTTCTTATTCTGTACGCTGACTGAATGCGGGTCAGTGAAATTCCTAACACTTGGTGTAGCATCTCCACTAGAGTTGCATGTTCTGAGTCTAAAGGGACAGGCACTACTTGTAGGGGTTATTTCTTGCCTTGAGGTGAGATGACAATATTAGGGATGACCAGCAGAGGGCGCAAAACATCTAGTTCTAGAAATTCAGCTACCCGCGCCTGCACCTTGCAAAATGGAATCTCGGATCTTCCCTTTTAGATTAAGATAAAGAGTTGCAGGTTCAGTGGTAGGTCTGAGAGCTTCTAAACGTAGTGATGCCAATACTTTGATCACGTGGGTCAATGCAATCACAGATTTCCCTTCAGTTCAGTGGAGTTTAGGGTTGGGCATGTACTTGAAACTGCTTAACCTCTTGCTGGCACTTCTGTTGCACTTTGGTCCTAATGAGCCAGATTTGCCTCTCCTTCATGTTTTGTCCTAGTTCCATTCTTGAGGCTATGCTGGCTTTACTGGTCCCCTAGGGTTGCTCCAGCTCACCTTCTCTGTGGCGAACAGGCCATTGGCTCTCCCCTGCCTTGTTTGATTCCAGTCACTAAGACCATGTGCCTCTGACCTAGAGTCAGTTCATGCTGTCTGTCTCCGATAAGCTTCTCCAGGAACACGGCTACCCTCCTTCCTCTCATTCTGAACTTCTTTTCACAGAGACTCAGGGTTTTGGTTTTTTTTTTGGGGGGGCACACCCGTTGATGCTCAGGGCTTACTCCAGACCCTGTGCTTGGGTATCACTCTTGGCAGAACTCGGGGGACCTTATGGGGCACAGGGGATGTAATATGGGTCATACATCTGCAAGGCAAGAGCCCTACCCACTGTACTGTTGGTCCAGCCCCATTGCACGGAGCCCTCGTTTCTATCAGTTTTTCGGACATCACCGCTTACTA